TTAAATTCTCTTCTGAATGACGTAGAAATTATCGTTAGAACTTACATGTATTTATCCTCAAAATTCTCGAGGAGTTTTCTTCAGAACTATCTTGAAATTCTCCTTGCCACAATCTCTTTGAATTATTCCTCGACTTGTTTTGTAAACCTCCTCAAAATTCGTTTGGAATTCTTCTCGACATTCTTTAGAAGATTCTTCAAAGTATCAAATCCAAACGATTGTTTGTTTCAATGTGTGACACCGACACCTTTACCTAATATATCTGTAAGTCCCATTAACGGGAAAACAGCTTTATAAAATCCATGTCTCTGTCTTGATATTTTTAATCAGTCCCAGATTATGACTGCATTTTTTTCTATGTCGCAATTCGAAATATTTTTTCTTGTAATAATTTTTTTTTAATTTAAAAATTTCAAAAAATCTGTAGACCAATTCTTATTTTACAATATTTGGGTCTAATCCCCAACAGCCCCATAACGTTCGATCTATTGGCCTTCGAAAAACTTCATGTTTCTGCAACTCAAGCAAATTTCGAAGTTAGAAGACCCCACAAAAAAAGTTAATTGTGAGTGAGCCTTTGAGAATTGCAAGCTTGGATATATTTCAGCAATGTTGAACTTAAAAAAAACTTCAACGGACAGCTCTATGTGCTTGTACGCAATGGTGACGTAGGACTACGTGGTATTATAATAAATCTTATTTGTTAACTGCAGCAGGAGCTTGTGTTTTGTGTAGGAATAGGAATTTGAGCGGGGTTCTCTCTGTTTATACTTTTTAGTATTACGCGCTTGACATAGATGGCTCACTGTAACTCACGAAGAGCTACTAATTCCGATCAATAGCGGTGCGGCTTTTTCCTCCTTCTATGGATGCTCATGTGGGCTGCAGCTCGCTGCTTGCAGGGATCCTTTCGTTGTGTACTGGAGAACACCACCACTCACCACGCGGTGATTGAATAAACACCGTTCGGTGGGACCGGATGCAATTCAACTTTGAAATCTGTGTTAGGGAAATCGCTTTACACTGGCAATCGGTGATAATTTTAGTTATAAAAGCAACAGTTGCACATTCCACCACTGACCCCACTGGATCGTCCCGGCGACCCAGTGGTTCATCTGATAACTCATGAAGAGAAGGCTGCCGCAATAGGTCAACACTTCGTCAGCTCCCATAATCTCGCACAAAACATCGTCAGCCCTCATGAATCTGAGGTTGCTGAAAATGCAATCAATCTTCTTCAGATTCCTAACATTTTTCCAGAGGATTCTAAGATTACGGCTGACGAACTGTTGGCCTATATCAAATCATCTAAAAACATGAAGGCCCCAGATTTCGACAACATCCATGAATTCCAGATTCTACAACCATCTGGCACTGATTTTTAATCAGTGCCTCAGACTTGACTACTTCCCCTCGTGTTGGAAGTCAGCTAAAGTCATATCCATCCGGAAACCTGGGAAGGATCCGTCCTCTCCTTCAAGTTATCGACCAATCAGCCCTCTCTCAGGGTTATCAAAACTGTTCGAAAGAGCAGTGTACCACCGGCTCCTAACATCTACCGATGAAAACAACTTGTTACTCGAGGAACAGTTTGGTTTTCGGAAAGGTCGTTCGACCATCCACCAGCTGACTCGAGAAACAAACATTCTCAGACGGAACAAGTCTGTTTCGAAAACATCTGCCATGGCGTTGTTGGACGTTGAAAAAGCGTTCGACAATGTCTGGCATGATGGCCTGGTGTTCAAATTGCAGCAGTACGGTCTTCCAATCTTCCTAGTGAAGATAATAAACAACTATCTATCAGACAGGACGTTCCGAGTCTCTCTGAATGGCATCACATCGGTTGCTTTCAACATCGGTGCCGGGGTTCCACAAGGAAGCAATATTGGCCCCATCCTATTCAACCTGTTCACCTCCGATATGCCGGCTCTCCCTGATGGTGGATCGTTGTCTCTGTTCGCAGATGACACATCCATCGTCTACAAGGGTAGGGTCATCGGAGCTCTGACTGCCAAACTTCAGAGAGGCCTGGTCGTCCTGTCTGAATATTTCAACAGCTGGAAGATCCGTATCAACGCGGCAAAGACCCAGGTCATTATCTTTCCACACTCTAAATCTCCCAAGCTTGTTCCGTCGGAGAATAACAAGATCTGTCTGAACGGCACAGTGGTGGAAAGGTCCGAAGAGATCGTGTACCTCGGGCTAACACTAGAAAGCAAGCTTCTTTTCAGGGAGCACGTTGACAAAACGAAAACCAAGTGCAACATCTTGATAAGATCGTCAACCCTGTCCCTGAAAAATAAGCTTGCTGTCTACAAACAAATCATCCTTCCCATAATCGAGTACGGTATGCCAATCTGGGAGAGTTGCGCAAAATGCCATCACCTTAAACTCCAAAGGATCCAGAACAAGATCCTTAGGATGGTCCTAAACAGTCCCCCGCGGACTAGAAATTCTGAGATCCACCTCCTGGCTGGAATTCAGACATTAGAAGAACGGAGAGTATTCATCCTGGAAAGGTTCAGAGACACCTATCTGAGATCAAATCACCAGATCATACGTGATCTAGCACGTTAGGTTAAGTTTAACTCGTAGTTAGGTAGCCCGCATAAACGCGAACCATAACTTGACCTTACCGATAATAATTATAAATTGTTTATAATCCCTCCTAAACTTTAACTGAAATGATTATGGAACTTTACATGAACGTTTGTGTGATAAAGTTTTAACCTTATGTATTATTGTTTTTTGAAAGCGGACCTCACAAATAATGGGTTGTTAAGAACCATTACCATTCAAAATTCTTGTTTTCTCCATACATTTTCGAAAAGAGAACTATATTAGAACGTTTTTACTTATGGTTTGAGAACATTAATGGTTATGGTTATGGTAGTCAGTAAGGTCCATTAATGGTTTTGTATTATCGCTCAACTTTACGTGGAATGTATCGTGAATTGGTAATCAGTAATTTACAGGCAACCAATTTGCAATATATTCCACATAAAGTTGATCGATGTTACAAAACTATTCATGGACCTTACTGACTACCATAACTATAACCATTAATGTTCTCAAACCATAAGTTAAAAGGTTCTAATATAGTCCTCCTCCCGAAAATATATGGAGAAAACAAGAATTTTGAATGGTAATGGTTCTTAACAACTCATTATTTGTAAGGTCCGCTTCCAAAAAACCATAATACATAAGGTTAAAACTTTATCATTAAACGTTCTTGTAAAGTTCCATAACCATTTCAGTTGAAGTTTAGCAGGGATTATAAACAATTTTTAACCATTTTTGGTAAGGTCAATTTATGGTTCGCGTTTATGCGGGAGGTTATCACTTTTTTCAAATCAAATAAAACACATTCCCAAAGGGGTATTCTTTAAACTAGTTAAAAAACGCAAATATTAAATTAGAATATCAAATTAAACAAAGATGAAGAGTAAGGTAGGCTAATCAATTAAAATGATAAATCAATGTACTACCAACAATCAATTCAAAACTAACGATTTTAAATTGGCTCACTACTTGACTAGCCTATTGGTCCCAAGCGAACGATTAACGCACCCCATTCTAGGCGAAATTCTAGTACTACACAATGTTTGTTTTGATTCGCTATGAAAGTTTGACAGATAAAATGAACGGTTAGTGGATTTTCCTATGATTCGAGGGGTGAATCGATTAGCTTGGGACCGAAGATAGTACCAGATCTGAGCCAAAAAGTTGAGCACGTTATTTCGGGACCTTCTAGTCTTAGAGTTACCCCTATGGTACTACCATAATCAACAGAAATAAACATAATTTTACTACTACTTCGTGCAATTTTCATCAGTGAAATTTTGAAAAATGATAAAGTCCTAAATTTAACAGATGTGTAGAAATATATCTGATCGATTGGTGATAAAATTATTGAAATTGGTCCAAGGGCAGCTGAGTTATTAACGTTTAAAATCTTTCATAATTTTGTTACATGTTCCATTTTTGGTTTTCACAAAGTGTACCCCCATATAGAAATCGCAGACGTAGTCCTATGTCAAAAAAATTGGTGAGTTAGAGGGGGGGGGGGGCAGTCAACCACTTCCCTCACTTACCTCCCTGTACTATGTACTTGATTTAATAAGTGTTGTCAAATAAAACAATTGAAAACTCTAAACCTGATACACTACGAAGATTCACATCACTCCATTACCCTGAGCTGAGAAATTTCCACAGTGCTCGCCATTCATTCATTGCTTCTCTCGATTATGTTTTATGATCCTTGCGCTGCATCGGTGCTAACGGGCTGCACACATCTGCACCATGCCTTAACCTTTCCTTCGCATCCTCAATCTCAATCATATTTATGTGCTTTTTCTCGACTACCAAAGCTTGGTCCCTGTGCACACGTAGGCAGTGTAGTCAGTTATACGGATTTATCAGAATTTACGGATTTTTAGATTTACTACGGATAAAATTCTACGAAGAAATTCTATTGATTCTAAAAAAAAAAGGCTCATAGAACCACTGTTTGAAAAACGGACATTGAAGTTAGCAATAATTAACGCAGTGAAAGCAAATGAATGAAAATGAAAAGCGAACAACACTGCACGTAGGTATGCACGCAACATAAAATCAAAAGCTCATTCGCAGTGGTAAACAAACTTTCTCTCTCCCTCTCTCTCTCTCTCTCATCTCGCGACGATTTTGTTTGCGTTTTGCTCTCGCAGTTGGCCTTCTTGGATGGTATTCGAAACGCATGGCATGGCTCAGGAGCAGCAACAGAAAAGTTGTTCAACTGGTGTGTTTCGCTTTGCCGTCGTCCGTCGTCCGTTCCGTATAGGTATTTTTTAGAGAAAAGCTTGCAAGCTTACAGTCTGGATCCGTTGGAAGTATTGGTAGTTTATAGGAGAGCATGTGTGCAGTGTCTACCGTAGGAAGCAGGAAGAAAAGGGATCGCGACGAGGAGACGACTATCCGATCAGCCGGTTGTTTGGTATCAAAACGATCCCAGCAAGGACTCGAAACGGTCAGAAGCCTCTCGGACGGCGAACAGTGCGGTCGTTTGCTTATGTGACATTTGAGTCGAAAGGATATTGAAGTTGAATTTTTGAAGTGTGTTTAAACTGTTGGTTGATAGACTTTTTTTCTTGAGGAAGATTGCAGATGTTTGCCGAAGAAGAAAGACGGTGATGATTGCATAAGAAGTGCACAACGAAGAGACTGAACGGATTTCCAGGAATTTTGGCTGGTTCAGTGGAAGGGCAAAAAGTGCTTGGTTTTAGGGGTGGGAACAGATTGGATTTTTTGGACGGTTCTTTTCGAAGAAGGTGTCGCCAGCTAATACAAGGAAAAGCGGTGATAACGGTATTGTGTTGGTGTTGTTATTGAGTGCTCGATAACGGGACTTTCTAACTGTGCAAAACAATGGCTCACAAAGTGGATCTAGTGTGCAAGGAGATCATCTACGATGAAGTGGACAGTCAGTTTGCCGAACCGGACCCGACGATGGTCGCCGACGATCGGGTCATTCAGAACTTGATCGGCCTGGAGCGGTTGACGATACCGTCATGCAACTACTTCGGCTCGGTACAGCAAGATATCAAGCCGAACATGCGGAAGATCGTGACCACTTGGATGCTGGAGGTGAGTGTGATCGTGTGGGATTGTTTTAGCGAGAGGGATTCTAATCCGTTGACCTCCGTTTGGCCAGGTATGCGACGAACAAAAGTGCGAGGAGCAGACCTTCCCGTTGGCGGTTAACTTCTTCGATCGGTTTCTCTGCGCTTGCCCGATCGATCGCTACCACCTGCAACTGCTCGGATGCTGCGCTCTGCTGTTGGCCTCCAAAATCCGCCAGTGCCATCCGCTGACGGTGGACGTGCTGAGTGCCTACACCGACCATGCCGTCTCACCGGATCAGATCAGGGTAAGTGCGATCTTTTGTTCGATTTGAAATCAGGGAAAAAAGGGGTGGAGTTGAAGATGTCTCATTAAGAAAAATAGGTTCACGATCTTGAACTTGGTCCTGTCTTCCTGCTTTTATTCTGTTTTGATGAAAAAAAAAAAATAATGAGGGAGAGGAACGTCTAGAATTTTTTCTTGAGAACAGCAAAGGAGACGGACGCACGGAAGCGTGTAACCCTCCGCCAGGGCAATACGACTAATTTACTATCTACACATCTCTGTGTCGCACATGCGCCCATTGTCATTGTTTTTGAACACCCGGATCGCTTCCGGTTAAGTAAACTGGTACCTGTCAGGTAAAGTGGGGATCTTCCAAGTGGAAAACCACAAACCACATCTCCTTTGTTTTCCTCAGACCGCGCGTTCGGAAGGAAGCAATTATCGCTCAAAAGGGGTCAACGGGCCTATCTTTTGCTATCCGTAAAATCGCCCGCGCAGTAGGCTGCGCCACCCGCATACTGTCAATTCAGAGAATTGACATCTCCGTCAGTCTTTTCCAAAAAAAAAACCGCAATTTTCCCACAAATCACAATGCAGAAATAGCGCTTAATTGGTGCGGTCGTATTTTTGCCATCGCCGCACGGCCTAATCCATCATCTTGGAGTTTTTCGAGATCCCTCCCGCAAACGCAGGCAGCCCGTAATCCGATATCAATCAAATCCAATTAACTGCACAATTTCGCTACGGTGTGGACACGCAGCCATCAAACACAATTGACCCCCATGTAGGAAACACAGACAAAAAAAAAACAGCGAACCCGGTGACTGTCAGTCAGAAGCAAATCATTTCCACTACAAATTTTCATAATCAGCGAGCGACCTCTGTCGGCTTCCACCGTTGTTGTCGTCGTCGTCGTCGTCGCCTACTCTAATCCACTATCTCAGAAAGCTGAAATCCGATATCGGGATCGTCGCACTCTGCGTCGATGGTCATCTTTCGCACGGGACCACCATCAGCCTCGAAACAGGCCTTTTAAAAACCGTCCAAATACATCAGAAAATCCCTGGCAAACAAAATTTAAGAATGAAATCAAGAAAACACTCAAACCAAAATTCCATTCTTTTTCATCACATCTCAGTCGGTCGATTTCCAGGGAATTCTGATCCTGAAAAATAAGTTTACAACTTTTTCACACGTTTCGTTATTCAATCGTTGCCTGTGCAAGTGCTGTTGTTGTTTTTTTTTTGCATCTACAGCAATAAAAACCCAGAAACCCCTACGACGACGAAAGCATCATCAGCGAAGGACCTTTAATGGACCCGAAAGTTTCAAAACATTTCCACTCTCTTTCCCTCAATCACACGACGACGACGACGGTGCCCATTGTAGGAAAGTCTCGACCGACAAACCTTTTATGATTTCCGAGAAGTTTTCGCTTTTTTTTGGGTTTTCAAAAACGGAGCGAGAGAAAAATGCCATTCCTTTATTTTTTCCCTCGTCTCTGAGGTTCTAAATTTCTTGACCCTGACCAAGTCTGACGAAAGCGATCGCCGCGCAGCGCAGCGGGTTCGCCGCATCATCAATCAAAGCAGGCGGCGTTAACATTTTTACTTCGCGCGGTTTTAGCGCCTCAGCCCGAGTCAGTCGGATTCGGAGCTGTCAAACGGTGATCGTTTCGATTGCAAAATCATGCTTTTGATTTCAGGAAAGTATCGGTTTTCTCGCTTTCGCTGTGGGCAGGTATAAAATTTTATCTCTTGTTTTCCGCTTTTATGGGATCAAAACTGAAAACGGAGCAAATAAAGATGAGAAATGATGTTGGTTCCCACCGCTCGGTAGAATGATGGGTTACTTGAACTGTCAGTGAGGAGAGCAAAATGGCGTTCAGTATAAACTTTCCCGACTGGAAAGGTAAAACTCCGGAAGGGATGCCGTCATTGATTGCAATTTTATACAAATTAACATCCGGATCTAGTCGGAATTAAGGGATGAAATTGTTGCTCATCATGTCTTATGAATAATAAACAGGGATCCCTTTTAGGGTCCCGGGAGGGAAAAAAACAAGGTCAAGATTGAAAGCAAACATCTTCCAACCGAAATTTTGTCTCCGATCCGGTGCAAAGGCAGATGCATCCAGAAGGATCTCCTTCGTCATGGGACAACGGCGAAAAGATATTAATCACGAAAGAAGAAACTGGGACCTAACCTCAAATGCGAAGAGGGACGGAAGATGCATTTGCACACATCGCAATAATGACGTAATTTTGCGGTTGGTCACAAATTAATCGCATCCGTCCCTCGGCCGAATTCTACGCTTTGAGGCTACTGGTCGCTTCATTTTTACAACAAAATAGCATTGACATAACCTGGTCGCATTTGAACCGTCACGCACACGTCTGGGGGGTTGTAACTGTTTTAACGGTCCCGCCGAGGAACCGTTGGTCGTGTGGCGTCCCCATTAAGATCAAGATAATCGCGATCGTTTTTACGATCGCCCACCCGGCAAATTTATGCGCATTCAAATTTACGCCACGCGCCATCTATGAATCTCATTACCAATTATTAATCCTTCGTCGCCTTCTTTGTCGCACCCTTTCGCCTCTTACAGAGTTGGGAGCTACTGATGATCAGCAAGCTGGAGTGGAACATCACCGCCGTGACGGCCTTCGACTACGTCGACCAGATCCTGGAACGCGTCAACTGGGGATCGGACGACTCGCGGCTACGGGAACACGCGCACACCCTGATCCACGTTTGCAGTACCGGTAAGTTTCATAATCTATGTTGCTTTTATCGCCTTTTTTTTTTTGTTGTCTTTCGACTGGCTAAGACCACAGTTGGTCCATCTCGCCCTTTTATCACCTTCGTCCCAACTGTCACTGTCTCAAATTGCGTAATTGTCGGTCACGACCCGACCCATCTGTTCCGACAACCGCCGGGACGCGCCAAAAATTTTATTAACGATTTTACAACACTTCCCTCGGCAAATATTTACGATCCTCGATAAGACGATTAACGATCCCTTCGGCCATCTCTTTGAATTTATAGCTGCTGCCTGAAATTGAAACATCAGTTTTTGTCGTTCAATTTTCATCAACAGAAGCCATTAGGGGACAACTACCCCGAAATCGATGATTGGAGGTCACCTATTTGTACAGTTCTAGACCAACAATGCAGAAGGTCCTATCTGATTAGATCGATTCTCTGCATCGGCTTTCGCTTGCGGACTGATTTTAGATTTGGGCGTTTCCTTTTGACGTAGGACTACGTCTTTGATTTCTATATGGGGGTACACTTTGTGAAAACCGAAAATGGAACATGTAACAAATTAAGAAAGATTTTGAACGTTAATAACTCAGCTGCCCCTGGTCCAATTTCAATAACTTTATCACCAATCGATCAGTAATATGGCTACGCATTGATAAAAATGCTTCCGAATGTTAATTTTCAACAAGAAACTATTGAAAAACTGGTAAATGTTCAGCATTGTCCAAAAGCGTCGAATTAACTAACAAATCCACCAATTACCTACATGCATATGCTGCTTCCCCAGCACAGTCGTCAGAGAGTAGTAAGTAGACGAAACAAGTCGAAGTGGCATTCGCCTCCGATCCTCGGGCGCGTGCGAATAGGGAGCCATGTTCAGAACCAAACGCAAATTCTTCGAGATAACCACCATCCGTCGTCTGGCTCGCCGTGGCGGTGTCTGACGTATCTACGGTTTGATTTACGAGGTGTGCTGAAGGTGTTCCTGAAAAATGAGATCCGTGATGCTGTCACCTACACTAAACACGCCAAGCGTAAGCGGCCATGGATGTCATCTACGTTTTTGAAGTGACAGAGACGCACTCTGTTTGGTTTCGGAGGTAAATCATCACCAACATTGGAAACAAAACGGCTCTTTTCAGGGCCACCAATCTTATTACAGAAAAGAGTAGGAATAGAATTCATCTGCCTGTTTGTCCATATTCAGAACCACCGACCACACAAAATGCTCATGTTATCAACTGGAAGCAGGGATACAAATTATTTTGATCAACCTTGATTAACTTTGAATCGCCACGGCCGGATATTTTCGATGGAAGAAGCAACAATCTAGCATCTAATTTGACGAAGACGGCAGGAAACATTTCTGGATCAACAATAGAATAGGGCCCATCAGCATTTGTAAACAAACCGTTCCAAAGCCCTTTACTCACAAAGCGAAGGCCACCCACACAAACCAACACCAACATCTTGTAGGTAGAAGTTTCCCCTAAAGGGCTTTGGAACGGTTTGTTTACAAATGCTGATGGGCTCTTTTCTATTGTTGATCCACATTTGTGAAGCCGAATATTTACGAAAGAGAGTGTCGATGAAGAGAATCGATCAATGTAGATAGGACCTATTGAAAAGTGACGCGAGATTTGTTTTCCGTACTGAGCTCTAATGCTACCGACGCCAGGGAGGCAGCTCCCAGAGATGTTATGCCTTAGAACATGCCGGTGGCGCCGACTGAGATTGGACCCAGGCCTGCTGGGGTGAGAGGTAATCACGCTAACCACAGACGCCAATATCTATCACGGCGAATGAGAACGACCCAAATTTGAGTTTAGTTATCTCAGAAATAAGAAATAAAGTGCAGGAACTCAGCGATGAGTAAATTTGCCTCATGTTTTCGCAGGATTTTCCAGGGAAAAATTCCCGAATTTGAGAAAAGTAAAAATTGGATTCACTCAGTCTATTGGTACTACTCCGAGACTGAATAAAATTTTCGTCAATTTCCTCATTTTCTGGCAGATTTTTTAGGTTTTCCACACGAAATCATGAGACAAATTTACTCATCGCTGAGTTCCTACACTTTTGGCGATTATGAGTGAACTAAACTCAAATTTGGGTCGTTCTCATTCGCCGTGTACGCAAAAAGAAAATATCCAGTGTCGCTACTTGATAGCAAACTACTCATAATGGGAGGAGTCTTTGTAGCTTTTATACCACTTGGTTACACATTATTCTGCTTTAACCTAAAAAAATATAAAGCAACGCTGCTGTCTGATATCAGCTCATTTTCGCTTCGGACGGCGTGGTCAGCAATAGCAGCAGTAGGTCGTGGCAAAGGAGGTGCCAATCGTCATCGCAAATTCTTCGAGATAACCACCATCCGTCGTCCGGCTCGCCGTGGCAGTGTCTGACGTATCTCCGGTCTGATCTACGAGGTGTGCTGAAGGTGTTCGTGGAAAATGAGGTCCGTGATGCTGTCACCTACTCTAAACACGCCAAGCGTAAGTGGCCATGGATGTCCTCTTCAATAAAACGGCCCTTTTCAGGGCCATCAAGCTTACATCAGTAAAGAGTTGGAATAGAATTTATCTGTGCTTGTTTGTCCATATTCAGAACCACAAGCCCCCAACGACCACACAAACTTGGAAGCAGGGGTGCAATTGATTTGGATTGATTCTCGTAATCAACTTTCTTTTTGAAAAAGATTACTACAAATTTGGATTGCCTACAATTCAAAAACGGAAAGAGTTGAGATAATAGATATTTCAGGCATAACATTTGATAACGGCACAAAAGCATTTGTAAACAAACCTTCTAAGGCCCTTTACACGCGAACAAAAGTACGCCCACGCAAACCAACAACATCATTCGCGTGTAAAGGGCCTTAGAATGTTTGTTTACAAATGCTTTTGTGCCGTTATCAAATGTTATGCCTGATTTGATCAATTAAAAGAACTTAATGCTCTTCACATTTATTCCGTCCACTAGCGGTCCTACGTCAAGCTTCCGTTCGTGCCCCTAGGCACAGACCCTTCTACTTTTTTTTTAAACAATGGGGCCTATTCTTCACCGCGAGTGAGGTGAGATGACTCGCTGTGTCACTAGCGAGCATTGTTTACAAACACAGTTACGTCCAAATCTCAAATCAGTTCGGATTTGGCGTTCTGAAAGCTAGATGAGAACTTCTTTTATCAAACATCCATCAAAGCGCAGATAGGACCTTTTGAAGAATTCATCTAGAGTAGCTTCCTCGTCGTCTCGCGATCGGGTTTTGTTTATCGATTCGTCAAAAACAAAACAAGCCATGTGACTTGCTACATTTATCATGCGGTTATCTTTTCACTATAGCAATTTCGTCTTGCGCCCATGTTCGCCAGTGACGTGCGACGACTGCCCAAACAGGCAGATTGCCTCGATCCGTACGATCCCAGACGACGGCGGCTGCTCGTCTCCAAGGACAACTTTTTGCTCGCAGTCTGCCTGCTTCGATGATGTCTGTCTTTCGTTGTTTGTTTGTGTCATCTTCCGTTTGGCCGACGGACGATTCCGAACATGAAAATGGGTGGATGGCGATTCTGTTTTATCAGTGCTAATAACAATTTTTGAAATTTATGGTGAAAAAAAACCGGAGGGTGTAATTTTCAACGACTTCCTTTCGCTCTCGCACTATCGGAATTTGGTCTGTGTGTTGCTTATGAGATATTCCGCCAGACGTACGAGGATCAAGGTGCGAAGGAACGCACGACGCGGGGCATTTAAACGAACCCCTTATTGTCGGTTTGAAGGGGTTTTTCAAAACGACGTCGACGACGCAGCCGCGACTGCATGTACAATTGCGCGTTGTCGCGAGACGACGAGGGTTCTATTTCGTCATTGTGTACATGTGTACCGAAATTCAACCCCATCCAAATTCCCTATGAATTGCTTTATTTAAAAGGAACATTTGCGAATGCCAGCAAAAGCGGCTGAAGTTGTGACCCTGAACACGTTTTCGGTGCTGGTTTTATGCCACTCGAAGTTTCAAGTTCAATCCGGAATCAAACGGCTCTAAATCGAGTAGGCTGTGCTGGGTTTGGGTTTGACGTTTCCCGACTGTCGCAGTTGAAAGACATTTCTAGAAGAACATGCTAAAAGGGCCAATGTGACAATTATAAACAAACGGTAAACGTCGATTTCTCACGGATTAAGACTCATCTTGGCAAACCATCAATCGCACCTGGTAGAAGAAGTTTGCTCTATCAGGCGGTGTAGTTAGTTTGCATGGGCGTTTTGTGATCACTAGCCTAGGGTTGGAAAACAGCTATTTTTTTCAGTTGTTTTTGGGGCGGCCTTTGGGTCAGCTTTAATGGATACACACGAGTTTTATTAATCTAGAAGTAATCTACATCAAAGCATGCGGTAAATGTTGATATATCAACGATTTTAGTCATTGTTTACATTAGGCATATTGGCCTTTTTCACATCATCGTATTGTCTGCACTGAAAAAAAATTACATATCGTTTCTGTTAGGAACGCACATAGTATTTTCCCAATAACAAAATTAATTATTTTTATCTGAATATCACATAACATAATACCAATACATTCTATGTGATTTATCATATAAATTTCATTGGACATGTCATGAAAGACATGTGAAATTCACATGCATATTTTCCACTGATTGTGTGATTTATTTTATTAGTGTCGCTTTAAACTAAAATTTGTCAAGATGCACTCTTCACCGAAACACTTTAAAATTGAGTTACTTGTCAAAAGATCAATGGTTCAGAACCAGGAGAGTGGGATTTTGCTCCATCTTTTTTTTTGTAGGGTAAATACAAACACCGAAAACCAACAGGAAAACGATAAATCTTTGCCGATCCTTCCTGAGAATTTGCGAAGAAAGGAGCTGACCACCATCACCGCTGCGTGAGAAGCGAAATCTGTTCCCACAGAAGAACTAGAGTTACCTTCTTTCTACTGTCCACAAAACAGAAGCGTAGTAGGCGCATCGCACTGTAA